CCGCTCACCAGCCCCCTACTCTCCAGCAGGCATACACATGCTCCCATTGCCCCCTCCAGACTTTTACACCTGCAGTTCCCCCATTGAGACCCCAGGACTCAAGTCTCCCAGTTCAAGTCCCGGACCCGGCAGCTTCAGGGGGTGATTTCTCTCTCTCTCTCTCTCTCTCTCTCTCTCTCTCTCTCTCTCTCTGTCTTTCTTTGGTAAACGTATGTACCCTGTAGCAAATTCTAAAATAATAACAATAAATACAATTAAATATATAATTCCTTTACAAAAAAACAGAAAACAAAAAACAAAGCTCCAGGAAGTGGACTTCTATGGTGGTAGGACAGCAAGTCATAGGGACGCTGCTGGAGACAGGCGGAGGTGGTAAGGTAGGAAACCCTTCCCCAGGGGGGTGAGGGATGGGCCCACAGCCTCTGGACAGTGGCTAAAGGTCTAGGTCCAAAAGACCTGCAAGACCCTCATAGAGGGACCAGCAGTTCGTGTAATGGCTATGTCGCTGGACTCCCATGTAGCCAACCACGGTTCGAGTCCCAGACCCGGCAGTTTAAACTCACGCCGGGCGCATGTGCGTGCGTGCTCAAGATCCCGAGAGGAGAATGGAGGAGAAGGGATTGCGGCGTGGCCATCCTCCCTGGGGGGGTGATTTCTCCCTTTCTGTCTCTCTGCCTCTCTGCCGAGCACATATGCCCTGTAGCAAAAACCCTCTCCAAAAATAAATAAATAAATAAATAGAAGACCCTCATAGAAATGAAGGACAGCTTGCAGGTGGCATGATGGTTAAGGGTACTGGACTCTCACCGGAATCCTTAGTTTGAGTCCCGGACCCGGTGGTTTGCTTTCTCACTTTCCGTCTCTCTCACTTCCTCTTTGGTCAAATGAAAATAAACAAATAATTACACAAATAAATTAACTGAAGTAAATGAAATCGTTTTAAAAAGCAGAGAAATTATTCAAAAAAGAAAATAAAGGGGGAGGCAGCAGGGGGCGTAGTGGTTAAGGTACTGGATGCGCTACGGCAGACTGTGGTTCGAATCCCAGAACCGGCGGCTTGAAACTCACATGGGGTGCACGTGTGTGTGCGTGTGTGCCCAAAATCCCGAAAGGAGAATGGAGGAGAAGGGATTGTGGTGTGCTTATCCTTCTCATCCTCTCGCTTCCAATGCCCTCCATTCTTTTTTCCCTCCTGTCTTGTTCTCTCCTCCCTAGTCTCTCCTCCCTTCCCTCTTCTCATCTTTTCTTTTCTTTTTTTTGGAGAGATTTTCACTGCAGGGCGCGTGTGCTCGCCAGACAGACAGAGAGAGACAGAGAGACAGAAAGCGAGAAATCAGCCCCCAGGGGGGATGGCCACGCCGCAATCCCTTCTCCTCCATTCTCCTCTCGGGATCTTGGGCATGCACGCACATGCGCCCGGCGTGAGTTTTAAGCCACCGGGTCCGGGACACGAACCGCGGTCGACTACGTGGGAGTCCAGCGACATAGCCATGACGCTAACTGCTGGTTCCCGCAAAATCTAAAAAAATAAAATAGTGCAGAGATCCAGAGGCAGTGATTTAAGTGGATGTAGGGAACGAAGGGGAGAGAGAGGGAGGAGGGTGCAGGGGCAGGGGGCCAGGATTCGTAACTATCTCCCCCCCCCCTGCCAGTACACGCTCTCTAAATCCTGGACCCATCCGAGGCTGCCAGGGTGGAGCTAGGGTCTGGCTCCAGAGACTGTCAAGACAGCAAGGGACTCGGGAAGTACTCATTATTTTTATTTATTTATTTATTTATTTATTTTTGGGAGAGGTTTTTGCTATAGGGCGCATGCGCTCGCCAGAAACACAGAGAGAGACAGAGAGACAGAAAGCGAGAAATCACCCCCCAGGGGGGATGGCCACACCGCAATCCCTTCTCCTCCATTCTGCTCTCGGGATCTTGGGCATGCACGCACATGCGCCCGGCGTGAGTTTAAGCCACCAGTTTGGGGACACGAACTGCAGTTGACTACATGGGAGTCCAGCGACATAGTCATCACCCCACTGCTGGTCCTGAGATCTGGACTCTCTTGGACAGGCAGTATCGCTGCACCACGGGGCCTGGTCACCCCTAACTTTTAGCATTCATTGGCTCCCTACAGTCCCTGTGTCATTGAACAATTAGAACCCAGTAAGGTTTGATCCTTGATCATCAACAAACCCCTACTTTACTTGCCCTTCTGGGCTCAGCTCAGAAAGGGCCTCCTGGAGTCAGCAGGTGGCATGATGGTTAAGGGCACTGGACTCCCACAAGGCTGACCACAGTTCGAGTCCCAGACCTGGCAGCTTGCTTTCTTACTTTCTCTCTCTCTCTCTCTTATTCTGTCCCTCTCTGGTCAGACTGAACTAAGTAAAGTTAAATAATATACATATA